GTGTGTGTGTGTGTGTGTGTGTGTGTGTGTGTGTAGATATTCAGACATGCTCTATACAATGAAATTAATCAATCAATATAATAAATAAATAAAGATTACCACTAATAAACTTTAGTTTAACATACCAAACAGTTAAACACAGACAGTAAAAGAAGTGAAGCTAGGCAGGATCTTTTCAGAAGAAAACGAGGCACCACAGATAATGAAGATGTGGAGTGGAGCATGGAGGGAGGACGGTGAAGGACAATGCAGCAGCAGAAAGGAGAAAAGCAGCAYCAGCATTGTGAGCTGACAGACACGCTTAAATGCCTCTGATTTGTTGGTCGCAGTAACTTTACCGACTGCGTGGACTCCAGAGAACCAGAGGACTGGGTGTCTCGGCTGTTCCGGTTCTTGGAGCGAAGCCGTGGTGAAGAGGAAGGAGATCCAGAGAAGGACAGAGGGTCGTGGCGAGGCTGCTGCTCCTCCGGGTCAAAGCCATACGATGGAGGGTTGTCGATGTACGGAGTGTCTGTAAGAAACAAAGCACAATAGTCACATGTGGAGCTAATGAAACTGCTAGGTCAAGTAGTTAAACACAGAGAGGCTTTATGGGAAACACAGCAAAGAACAACATTTCTCAGCTGTACTCTGGCACTATGTCAGTGAGAGTAACACAATTTAAACCGTGACTAGAAGGTTAGGGTCAGGAAGAATATTTAAAATCTTTACGTTGGTCTTTGGTGCTTGTATAGAGAATCTAGTCCAAAACAAAATCTGTAGAGGACATTATCCTYTGTGCAACTTTGTAATGTTTAATTCGATTAACAGTACTTTATAAAGAGTTGCAGTAGCGTTTGTTAAAAGTATCATAAATCAATTACTGATACAACAAATTATAATTTGCAATGGCAACATTCAGAACAAGTGAAAACAAACTTTGTAATTTAAAGCCTGATTTCGCTGCTCTGTCTTTAGTCTAGATCAGGGCTATTCAACTGAACTGCTCCGGGGACCACAGTTACTGCAGCCRAACAGCTGAGGGGCCGAACATCCAGCAATTAAAGTTATTATGTAAATAAAACAAGCATTATAAAGATCTGTTACCTTTGAATTAGTTTATTTTGCTGTATTTAATTATGAATACAACATACAGAACACTTTAAGTAGTGATAATTAAACAATATCAAAAACAAAAAGAACACATTCTGCCTCCTATTTGACACAAATATTTTGACATCAGACGCCAAATTTTTAAACATTTTATTTTCATTTTCATAGTTTTATCTTCAACTGCTTGTAATTTTAACTGTCTTAGTTTCAATTCAATTTATTGTCATTATACTGACACAGGGTTGTACAGTGCAACGAAATACTTTTAAGCTAGATCTCCAGTGCAGCAACAAAGGTTAGGTTAGCTGCGGACATGAAAGCGCCCGCTGAGCAGCAGGAGGAGAGAAGAGCGGAAAAAGTTCAAAACTTATTTCTGCTGGCAGAACAGGTTGGAAGATGGTTTTTCAGTTA